CGCCATTCAAAAGGCCATCGCTGATCTCAAGGAGCAGCATCTGCGGCCGTACATGGAGAAGGGGAACCTCGTGGGCCAGGGCCTATACGTCGACCTGCCGCTGCCTTGGACAGTCGCTGAGCTGGTGGACGGGTTTGACCGCGAGTCGTTTTACCGGCAGCAGTGGAACCTGTCTGACGCGACGGACGCGGCTGGCGGGTTCTTCCAGGGCAAGGACGCCATGACGCTCGATATGCTGGAGATGGCGGCTGGCACCATGAGCCCTGTAACTCGGTGGCGGGAGGCACATCCCGAGGCTGTGGGCGAAAAGGACGTCGTGAGGATCATGAGGAGGACGATCGAGAAGTTGCTGCACGAAGCCGGTGTGGATCCTGGTAAAGAGTTCATCATGGGAGGCATCTCAGGCGTTCTGCTCATGGTCAAGAAGAAGATGGAAACACAAGCTGCTGCGTCGGTTTGAGCAGTCAGTGGTCATGAGTCACGAGATGACACGAGGCATAGGAGGTAATTTTTAAATGGGTATTTCAATTTTGTTCATTTGTTCTCATTTTGGCAATTCGCTCATCGAACATGAAAATAATAGGGGAGGCAAATAATACCAGACTCTTCTGAATACAGGCATCATAAACCCGCACCCTCGCGGTCATGGGCCGCTTAGATGGTGTTCAGGACGTACCTGATACCAGCCCACTGCTCGGCACCGCTGGCGGCGATCTGGCCGGCGGGCAGAACGAAGCCGTTGGAGGCGTTGGGGCCGGGGCGGAGCTCGACGGTCCAGGAGAACTCGGCGTTGATGGCACCGCTGTGGTAATCGGGGGAGCTTCCGGTGGTGGCGTAGAGGGTGGAGCAGCTGGGACCGTAGGTGAAGCTGGTGCCGGAGACTGCGCGGATGGCGTTGGAGAAGCCGCCGGCAACGGACATCTGGGTTGAGTGGTTGGGGGCGCGGGCACTGCAGCTGTAGCCGTAAGGGAGGAGGATGTACTGGCCGTAGCTGTGCCAGTCGATGAAGAGCTTCACGCCGCGAGTGCGGAGGCCCTGGGTGAAGGTCTGGAGAGCGCGAATCTCGGGAGCGTCACCAGCAGCAAGCCCCTTGTAGGTCTCGTCGCAGGGGTTGGTGGAGGCACCGCCGGTGAGGCCCCAGTTGAAGTTCCAGTTGCGGTTGCCATCGGTGCCGACGCAGCTGGTACCAGAGCGAGTCTGACGGTTCTTGCGCCAGAGACGGTTGGTGGACTGGGTGTAGACGAAGCCTGCGATTTCATCAGTTTATAGTCCAGGATATGCCGAGTTTCAAGGGCTGAAGCAGATGGTTACATACCGTCGGGGTTCACGAAGGGGATGAAGTAGAAGTCATACTTGCCGAACCAAGCACGGACGGAAGCATCGTTGTTAAGGTAGCCAGCAGCAAGCTCACGAGTGATGTACTCGACGACCTGGCAACCGTATCAGCAGCTGAATCTGGCATTTTTGGGCGAAGCGAACTTACGGGGGCAGAAATCCACTCGCGAGCGTGGACAGTGCCGTGGAAGACAATGGCAGGGCGCGATCCCTTGCCGTTGGGCCCCCAGAGGTGGATGCCGTAGATGGTGCGGCCCTGGAAGGACTGGCCGACATTGAAGATCTCCGAGTTGGAGGGGAGAGCAGCCTGAATCTGGTTGAAGAAGGTGGCGTGCTCAGCCCAGGGGCGGTATGCCGTGAACCACGACGCGGCGGGAAGACCGGCCTGGCGGGCCTCGATGGTGCTCTCGTCTGGTGATGCGTGAGCGGAAATTCTTTTGTGATCAGCATCGAGTGACTTACCGCCGTAGAACTCGGAAACGGGACCCTCCTCAGCGAGGGCCTCACCAAGATCCTCGTTGATGACCTTGGCGTCGAGGCCCAGGGCAGCGAAGGCCTCGAGATCCTCAGGGGCGATGGCAATCTCGACGTGGTCGGTCTCGCCACCACAGCCAACAGAGGTGGTGGTGAGGCCCTCAAGCTGCTTGTGGATGTCGGCAACATCATCGTGAGCCTCAATGCGGAAGACCTTGTAACCGTCGTAGTGAACCTTCTCCTCAGCAATGACGGACGTGGCGAGAGCGGCCAAGAGGCCGAGGGTGGTCTGGAACTTCATGTTTGCGTCGTACAACTCGAACTGGAGGGATCCGTGAAGAGTGAAGTGTGGACTGACTGCCTAGGCTTCATTTCCTCCATGGCGACGAACCCGACTTCTCTTATGTAGCTTGCCGGCTGGACTGTCAATCCTGTGATCGCCAATGACTTGTTCGTGCTCCCCAATCACCGAACCCCTCATGGGCACAACAAAAGCGCTCACCCTACCCTCGCGTCGATGATCAGGTCGCTCAACCTGTCAGAAACGGCAGGTCGCATTACTTGCCCCTCTCCCCGAGTCGAACAGCATGATAACGCGCGACAATCGCCCCCTCTCTCCCCAGCTTCCTGGAGAGGCCATCTGCGCCACGGCAGCCATGTCGTGATTTTAGGCTAGCAAGCACGTCGATCGGAGGGGCCGCCGGCGCTTACACACAGCGAGTAGTCAGGCCGCGACTGGAATGATGGAAGGTCGCTGGATCGCTGGGAAGACTTGCCTGGTCGTTTCACGGGGTAGCGTGGACTGGTTCAAGCGCCGGGGGATGGGACCCTGATTCGGCATCTGCTTTCCCCAAGGCCATGCAAGATTGGCTTAACGTAGATCACTCCCCTCCAGTAGCTCCGGCAGCTGAGAGCACTCACCTTCCCAATCCAGCGATCGCCCCCGCGCCTCTTTTCTTGCGTAGTGCGAATCTTCGGCAGCTGCGATTCGGAGTTCGGCGGTGACAAAGCTGAGCTCGCTGCAGGTTGAGTGCAGTACTTTGGCTGAAGGTTGTGGTCTTTGCTTGTTCGTTGGCTCGTGACTCTCGAGATGGCACCTGCGTGACATGTATTGAAGTTCCAGGAACTTCCTTTTCGGCTGTTCATGTGCTTACCCCACGTTCAATCGGAGCGGCCCGAGGAAGGAAGCTGGAACCTTGTCTATGATCCTCGACGCAACTCCGCAATCGGTAGGCGTCTTCGCGTCATCTTGGGTGGTGCCACAAAACCTCTCGACAGCTCATCCAGGAACTCACAGGCAGAGGCCACTAAGACATTGTGCAACAACAGAGCTCATGTTACTTGATGATGCAGTCATCTCTTGAAGGTGCTTTCCTAGTTGTGACAAACGTTTCCAAGCGGTGCCAGTGGTCGACAGCACAGCATGTTCTAGGCCTCCTGCCCAAAATATTGTGCATTTTGAGGCTTGAGTCTAGCCCAGCAAAGCCAGAATGTCTTTCCAGAAGGAGAAACCGCATCGTAAAGGCACCCAAGTCGTCATATTTCCACTAGATCTCGTGAGGTCAGGGTATGGGCCAGAGCTTCCTAAGCTTCCAAGCTCTGAAGCTCGTCCAGGCTGTGGATCTAGTCACCTTCCTGAAGCGGTCGAGCGGGTCATCGGTGGCCGGCAATCATCCAAGTTCTAGACCAGTCGTCCCCCGCGGGACTCGATCACTGCGCCAAGACGGTTGCTGAAGAATGTTGTCCAGTCTCCCGGGCGTCTGGCGGGCATACAAGCTGGAGACAGCACCAGGCGACAGGCGCTTAATTCACATGTCGCTCCAGAGCACTTGTCATGCCTCTTGAGTCCCTATTGAGCGGCTTCGGCTTCGCAGAAGTAGTTTTTGCTTAGTTCAACATATCCGATGCATGTACAGCATTCTTCAACGCTCCTTGACTGTGAACGATGCGAATGCGCACCAGAACAATCGGAAGCCACAACCAGTGAGAGGGTTGCAGATGTGCCTTACCTTCCCCATCGAGAAGCTCATACTTTTCTGCAATATTTGAGAAACGATAGCTGTTTGTTAAGCCGCTTTTTTAGCCTTGGCGGCAAGTGATAAGGGGTCAGTATGATAGCGCAATCATTGTTGGACATCGTTCACGAGTCTTGAGCATCGAGAGCCCAGGGTTTTCGTACGGCAGGAAAGATATCTGCTTTTCTGTAGGAGGCATTACGGCCAAGCAACTTCACCTGACCATGTACAAGCGACAAGATCTTCTATCTTCCTATATCAGTGTCAGAGCGTGGTTTGGGTAGAGTGAAGAGGTCTTCCAAGAGTAGTCCGCAGCCAATAGATAATGGATATGGGGTTGTACTGCACCTTAATTCTGACCCTCCGCAGCTAGGACGGCCATCTGCGGTCCTGACACGTTCCCGCAATTCTTAGCCCCTAAACAGACCCCTGTTTCGTGGCTCCTCAGGGGTCACCTGACGTTAATATTCAACTTTAGGATAAAAGTCAGGTTTTGGCCCTACACTTTAAATGAGACGCAATCATGGAGGCAAAGGATGAGTTTAAGATACCAAAAACAAAATAGAGGAAGGAGATATCGATGCCCAGAGAGAACGAGGAGATAGTGTTAATAATACAGGTATACATTGATCATCTTGTTGATGGCATTAATGGTGATAGAAGGCCTCGCATTGAGACTAGTATGGGTTAGACCCGTCGACGTTGCATAGACTTTTGGCCAATGACTCCTTCAATGCAGTGTAGTTGAATTACTAACGTCGTCTCAATATCCTTACTTTGAATTCAGTTAGATGGCTGCAGTGAGGCACTTATGACCGCACGAGGGCTGTCACTGAGCCCCTTTCGGGTCGATCGTGACAGATGAAATCTTTGCAAAAGCAGTGGAAGATTTTCGAGCGCAATAGAGATGGGTTTGAAGTCAGAAACACCTGTTAGATACCGAGCACTTTTTTGCACTGAGAATTCAGAATGGCCTATAAAGCAACGTGAGTACACCAGGGCCTGAAGCTCAATTGTTCGCATCTACAGCGATGCCTTGAAGAAGGAGTTCAAGTTTCTGGAAAGACAGTGTCATCTCGGTATTGAAGTAAAAAGTGCTGATCTATTCCAGTGCATGGTCACAATAAGGCCACCAGTGTCGACTGTCCAACCAGGTTATTTATTCAGAAGCCATTCTCACTCAATCTGGATTGCAACTTTGCCAAAGTGCTTCTGATCCCATTGATACTTGCAGGCCCTGCTATGCGTTAGAATGCGGTATATGTCGCTGACGTTGAAATCTTCTCACTCTTTCAGCTCCTCAAGCTTGAAGACCTTCTGATCGATAACGGGCTTGATGTCATAAGCCTCAATTGCCCGAATCTATCCATGTTAGTAAGGTTGTCGTGCCAGATGTTATGCAGACCTACCATTGCTTCGAATTCCTCTCTGCTTCCAACGACGATACTCCTCAAGATAGCCATGCGGCTTTGAATTAGATTGAAGTTCAGTCCGCCATCTACCTACCCGCCAACCCAGCCAATGATAGTGACGACGCCACCAAGGCTGACGGCGTTGAGGCTCTCCTTTATAGTGGTCATGCCTCCGACCTCGATGACATGCTTGACGCCTCCGCTTATAGCCTTAGCCTCGTCGCCCCAGTTCGGGTTCTCCTTGTAATTAATGACATGGTCTGCTCCAAGCTTTTTCAACATCTCAGCCTTGACGGGAGAAGAGGTTGTCGCGATGACCCTAGCACCTGCCGCCTTGGCGAACTGTAAGCCAGCAATACTCACTCCTCCTGTACCTTGGGTCAGAACCCAGTCACCGGCACCGACTGGCCTGACTCCATAAAGGGCATTCCACGCCGTGAGAGCGGCGCAAGAAAGTGTTCCGGCTTCCAGGTAATTAAGATTCTTGGGCATATAAGACAAACCCTCTTCGTTGAAAACCCCATATTGTCGTAGAGTCCCATCGATGGCACCGCCTAGGCTTGAACTCAAGATCTCAGGGGTTAGTTCTCCAGATTGATGAGCCTGACTGAACAGTGTGATGACCTTGGCACCCTTCTCAAAACGAGTAACCTTGGAACCAACTGCCACGACCTCTCCAGCTCCGTCGGAGCCTGGAACGACACTCTGCTTAACAGGCAAAGGGTAGTGTCCCTGCTAGCATTAGTTTTTGACGAAGAATGGGGGAGTCAATAAACCACCAGAGGAATGATCACGTCACGATAGTTCAGCGATGCGGCATGGAATTTGACCAAAACCTCGTTGGCTTTGAGACCCGGCACGACGAGATTCTCGCTGAACCTAAGACAGTCGAGGCTACCAGTGCCCTCGACCGTCCAGCCTTTCGTCGTTTGTGGTGCAGACATGATGATGGTTTAAGTACTTTATATCGGTGTTGGTGTTGGTGTTGTTGAGAGGAATATCTTTCTCTTACGGGAGTGCTCGGTGGAAAAAACTAAGCTGAGTTGACTCCACGGGGAACTGAAGATATATGATAGAGAATCAAGACTTTATATAGAAGAAGGCCGTTATTTTGTGACACTCATCCTGATGTGCATGTTTTGGCTCGAGCTTAGACCTGATTCATGGTGCCTTGGGGGGTACCCGAAGAAGACACTGTAAGTGTTAGTTTCTATGTACCAGGTGGATTTGTCAGAACCTGGATGCTCTTGGCATGCTGATCCTCAAAGCGAACTCGCCTGAGCTGTGCATCACCGTATCTATACGGACGACTGTGCACCTTGCCCCCTGCCCCATACCCATTTTTTTCCACATCCACGAATCAATCCTCTCACTACACCATTCAATTTCACAGCTTATTGACATGGCTGTCGGGACCAGAAGGCGCAAAGCACAGACCAAACCCATTGGCTGATGCCTCAAGTGTAAGAAGCGGCACGCCAAGTTTCCATGCCTCCCTTCTCGCACCTAAACCCTCATCTTGATACTTGAGGGGGTCTTCAGCTTACTTTATCTCCATCTTTCCAGCCGGCCGGTCAGTGGAACATGGCCATCCCCCCCCCCCGAATGTGGCCAGTGCCCTCGAGCGAAACTCCCGTGCAGCTTTTTGACGTCCAGTCTGTCAGTCATACCTCTCAATGATGATAGCCTAGTCCATCTGGGACTTATTGATCATTGATTGACATTGCTCTGCCGTCCTAAGCGACGAATCACGTTCTTACCTGGATTAGAGTTCGATCTCTTTTGCTCAGACTTTTCGAATTATTACCAGCTGAACAGTATACTCGCCCTCATCACTCTGTAGGTGTCCAGCGGTCACCAGTGTCAAACTGGTATGCGGAGGGCCGTCGCCCACCAACGGGTTGCAATTGGCCGGGTCAAGGCACATTTAAAGACCCTCGTGGAACGCCTCATCAAGACCTACTGGACTTCTCCGCCTTCACGCCACATACGCAGTAGCGGGCTTTTGGTGCGATCCACTCATATCCACGCTTAAAACATAAGTCATTAATTCGACCCCATTGAGGAACTTCTACGGGTTCTCCGGATCAGCTGGTGTTTCTTGGCGTTCATGCCTCACGAGATCGTTCCAATCACAATTGGGATGCATTATTCAGCTGCATCGGATATCAATAGGCGTGTCCCATGGCAATGAAGCCTGTAATGAGTCTGAAGGGCCGGGTCTGAGGATGTGGCTGTATCGGAGAGGTGGCAAGATGCCTGCTTTATGCCCGTCTGCAACCTCATTGCCGGACGAAGCGTTGCTTCCTTGCCGCCACCTCTTCATTCCTCGAACCTCTTGCTTTGAGGAGGAAGTCAACCGGGACATCCTCTTCGTCGCTTTGGTCTTGTGTTGTAGAAGCAGCCTGTTGGACTACCTGTTTTTCAATAACTGATTATGGCCTTGAGGAATCCGAAAGCTACTTTCGACTGGAGGTTCGTCAGCATGTCAAACAGCTGAAAGTTTAATCTCCGGCCTCCCTTCACCCCCTGCCTCTGACACTTCCGCCTGTTGTGGCTTTTGCTATCTCGGACGTGTGCTTTAATGAGCGGCATGGATTAGTCCTGATTCTTGTGACGCAGTGCGACAAGGTATCTCATGACCTGTCAGAGTGGTCGCGGCTGAGATAATACAAGTTCAGGCCCTTATAGCACAGTGGTAGTGCGTTGCACTTGTAGGTTGAGGGTCAAGTACCCGAATCCAGAGATGCAGAGGTCACTGGTTCAATCCCAGTTGGGGGCACACCCTCAATGCTGACACTTTTGTTTTTGTGCTCATGTTCAATGCCAGGCCCACTCGCCCCTCCGTCAATGACTGCTTAATACCGCAAAATTTACACTCTCTGCCACAAGTATCACATCTCTTAGTAATGTTGTTGGGAGGGCTTTGTCAGAGCAGCTGTGTTTTAAATAATGCCTGGGCGATGGATGCTAGTTTCGACTCTACTTACAACTCCAGCTTCAGCCACTCCACAAGTACTCAGCCCGAGCTTCGTGGGTACAGATGATGGTAAGCGGTAGGTCTTGCTGCATTTTCTCTCAGCTCGACCATTATATCAAGGCGACAAAATACGCTGTACATGATTTCAGTTTTTCTCCCCATATTTCAATGAAGCCCCAATTCATGGTTGGGGGTTGAATTCGTCGGTGGAATAGGTGTTGGCTTATACCCTTCGTGAAGGTAGCTTAAACGAATCCCATTATTTACTCAATAAATATTCTTGGCTCTGTTGGCGGATGCGCACAAGTGCCTTGCGGCCGCACGGGAGCTATCCCCATTCTCAAACGCGCGTCCATGATCCTCGCGAGCACACATTTATGTTACAAGCAAGCGATATCACGGCAGCGAGCCGGCTGTCGACACACGAGGCCATTGGGCATACAGCAAGGTTAAGAATGATCCTCGAGGTGTGGTAGTTGCATCTTACATGAAGGTGCTACGATATGAAACCGGTCTTCGTCTGCAGGCAACTGTCTCTCGTAAGATTGACATACAAAACCGCTTTTCACCAAAGTCAAACAGGCGTTACACTCTTCCAAACCTGGCAGTAATATTGCAATTGTGAATCAGAATTACACCATAGGTAATAGGAACATCTGAGACAAAAGAATTAATCTTGCACAGAGATATCGTCATGGTAAGAGGGGATGAATGCACTCCGCAAAACATGACAGGCATATGTACATAAGACTAACTGGGTATGAATCAAAATCACTAAATCTTCGTATTAGCGACTCGTTAATGAAGCTTCAGTTATCAGAACATTGATCAAAAATCACGATGAAAGGACAATATGTTGAATGAATGACATTAATGTATTACATTGTTGTGCATATGCTGTGCTTGCTGATGTGACGTCTCGCATGAATATCCAAAACTAGCTCCTGTTCGTATGCTCATCCTCCTCTATGCGTGTGGTCTCCTGTATTACTGAGCCCTCGACGGTAGCAGAAGGCTGCTCTGTCGGACAGCCATGTCCCAAAAGGCGAAGAGCTTAAGGGAGGGCCTGGACGGGGTAGTTCTGGTTGGGCTTGACAACGACAGCCTTGGCGAGCTGCTTGTCGGTGTAGGCGGGCCAGACGATCTGCTTGCTGGAGCGGTTGACGACGGCCAGGGTGGTGAAGCCGTTGCCCTCGCCGAACTGGCCGGACCAGCTGCTGGTGACGGTGTAAGGGCCGCAGGTCTGGGCCTCGCCGTTGGCGCGGCTGGGCAGGGCCGAGCCGGTCGACTTGGTGTGGAAGGTGCAGGGAGTGTTGGAGGAGCCGGTGTTGACCGAGAAGGTCCAGGTGCAGTCGTTGGCCTTGCAGGCGCGGCGGGTGTTCTCAATGGTCCAGGTGGTGGAGGCGACAGCCATGGACTTGACGTTCGCGGCGGGAGCGGCGAGGGCAGAGCCCGAGAGGAGGGCGGCGAAGACGGCGACGGTGGGGAAGTGCATTTTTGCGGTTGGGTTGGTTTGGGAGTGAAGGAAGATGAGTGAAGTTGTTGGTGAGAGTGGTTGTTTTGAGTGGTGAGATGTAGATCTGAAGAGTTGATGATGAAGCTGATGTGTGAGAGTGATGAGGAATTGAGACGGAAAAGGAGGATGTTCGCTGTCCCTTATGTAGTTGACACTCGAGTAGCGAAGGACCACTTTCCTGCCTTCATCAACACGACATCATCGTCACGATGTGCAGTGCAACTCCGCCAGGCCGTCAACGTTGCTAGTCAGCAGACGAACCACGAGATCGTCACCCCGGACACTTCGTGTTGAGGTCGGACGCCCCATCAGGCGATGATCAGGTCTATTTTCGGCGTGCCGATTTCCCTTAGCTCGGGACAGATGGGCCTCCCTGCCTTAGCAAGACAGCAGCTCTTCGGGCCCGGCAGGGCTCAAGCAAGACAGGGTTTGGGTTCGGAGAAGGGAGCTAGAAGCCCAGGCGAAAAGCAGGATGGCTGGGTGCAACGGAGGTGTGGCGGGAACAAGCGAGCAAAGCGAGCAAAGCGAGCAGAGATGGTCCGTCGAGCACCCTTGTGGACCATTGACAGGCATCGCCTCGTATTCATCTATGGGGTCAGCTCACGTCACTCGGCCGAGTTGGGCTGGGACGGCCCTGGCGATGTTTTCGGGGGTCGCTGACTAGGGGGACGGTACCTCGGCATCGCCGGACAACCCACTTGACCTTTCGAGATGCCGCCGGCTGACAAGTATTTGTTGGGGGGGTAATATGGGGGAGCTACGACCATGCTGCTAGGCCCCAGAGGCCCGTCGCGTTGTCCCGGCGCGATCGGGTCCTTGCCACTCTTGTCGTGGAGCAGCGTGGCCATCTCAGCTCGTGTTCTTGTTCAGGCTGTAGAAAGAGGCTATGTTTAGAATCACACCACCACCAAAATTGCCTAGCACTTCGCTTGAAATGACAAAGGCTAGCCACATGTAACCATTGCCCGCCGCTACGTAACATGGCTTCCTCATTCTGCACAGCAAAATCAAGTGCTCTCGCTTCCATGGCTGGAGAGATGCAGGTAGTGAAGCCCGCGATGTGTGCGAAATGGGACAAGAGCCGATTGAAGGCTACGTTTGTCGCGAGGATCAGGCGAAAGGCCGTGTGGCTGGGCTATTTCGCCCTGCAGTCACCTGAGCAGCTGAACACGAGGTTCTCACCATTTTCTGGCGGTGAGGGTCAGTGCTGTATGTCGACGAAACGATCTACACCCTTTGGAGGAGGCTCAATAGTTCGGCTGGTTGACAACCCTTCTGGTCGCCGAGTAAATCGCTCACTTTTGACCAGCCCCTTCGGGATGGAGGATCATGGTGTTGCATTGGATCGCGTGGCTTCTTCGGCGACGAGTGATCATCTGATGCGCAAGGACTTCACCTGTAGACTTGTGCGCTGATCAAAACACCTTCCGTGGATCTTGTTGATCCGGCTCTGTAGAATATTGTCAGACTTTCCACAACAAACGTCATACGTGGACCATGGTTGTGGAAATCTGGTGTGACAGACGGCGCTTCGGAGCGTTCATGTCGATCACTAAGTTTTCTTATCCAGAATCAGAGCAACGTGAAAGCCGAGTCGCTTGGCAACAGTCATCCCGAGCAAGCGCCCCAGCGACTGCTTGCGTTCTGTTCGGTGAGCGCGGGAGCAGCGACGCATCATGGCTCGTATCAAGTTTTACTGATCGCCGGCGCTCATGCAGGTCCTTGCAGGCAACGCAAGGGGCATGAGGGGCATGCTTCCACCTGTGTTTGCATCCCTGACTTATCTGCTCAGAAAGATTGAGCAGACCCTATTAGATTCTCAACGAAGGCCCTTCATTCAGTGACTACGTGCATCTCAACCTGCAGCAACAACTGACAGAGTCAATCGAACCATGGGCTTTGTTGTCATCCGCAGAATTACTGACAACGCATCGTCCCATCCCACGTAAAGGGATGGGACGACCCTGTGGCCCAAGGCCCAGCCACCCGCTCACTTGTCCCCTCTATCGAGGCCCGAGCCCGTCAGACGGTCCCTGTAGCTCCTTTGTTGGCGGTACCAGCAGCCTTACCCTTACCCCAGATTAAGATCGCCAAGAATACGAGTCGATCAACCCATGCTGTGGGAGAACGACTATTTGCTCGGCCCTTGTTGACTATTTGTTCTGCCCGACAGGGGTAAAGCTATAATAGATAGGGGGAAAGCTACGAATATAGCGCTACTACTAAAATTAGCTATAGTAACTATATACCTATACTTATCTCTTATACCTTTAAGTCTCTCGATGAATTCCGAGCTAAAGATTAGTTATAGCTAGCTAATAAAGTAACCTAAATAGCCCCCTAAAGCTCTATAGCCCCCTAAGGCTCTATAACTACCCTATCTATCTATTAAATTCTTAATACCCTTAAATATAATAATACTACTAAATACGCTTATTCTAAGCCCTCTAGATATCGCTAACGCTTTATTTTATCGTTAAACGAAGCCTCTCTAATACCTCCTTTACTAATAGACTTACTAACCGTTATTAAAGGTCCTATCGTCTCTTTTACTATAAATAAATATAAAGAGTTACTTAAAACCGTTCACGATTACTATACTTATTAATTATATAGATTAATTATAGAATAGATCTAGAAGAAAATTAATAGAATTAGGAATAGCTTAATAATATAGATAAAGCTCTTTTATAATTAAGGGAAAGCTAGACCCTCTATATCGAAAGGTCTTTAATAGAAGCCTTCCTCTAAAATTAATTACTTATAATAAGGAGCTCTTAAAGAAGTAAATAGCTAATAAAGATACGTATTTATTTTATTAAATAATTATTATAATTATTCTATTATTATAGAAATAAGAATTAAAGCGTTATTTATAATTTAGAGGGTATTTTATAATTTTAATATTATAAATTATATTAATACTTTTATATTAATTAATTAATTAATTAATAAGTAAATTACTTAATAAATTATTAAAGAATATATAAATAAAAGCTAAAATATCCTCCTTTCTAATATAAATATAAAGAATTAATAGAATTAATTATAAAAAGCTTAATAAAGCTATTACTCTCTTATTTAACTCTTTATTAACGATCTCGAGTAGAATAAAGATATATACTATTATATTATATATTATAATCCTATTATATAAAAGATCGATTATATTTTCTAGATTTACTCTTAATATAGTTAATTATAGAAGTAAAATATTAACCTTTTATTAATAGATTCTATATATTAAACGAGTTATTTATATTCTAAAGCTTTATTTATAATTTATTAAATAGCCTCCTTTTAATTAAAAACTATAAGTAAATTACTATAAAATACTTCTCCTCTAAGTAAATAAAGTAATAGTAACTTATATTTAATTTAATTACTATTTTACGCTCCTTTCTAATAAGAGTATTTAATTACTTATATAAAGGAGGTAATAGATAAAGAGGATATTAAAGCCTTTAACGTTATAATTACGGATTTCGATTAGAAGCTTAAAAATACTCTTAAAATCGTATTCCCTCGTCTCTTATAATAAATTTATATATAATATATAAATAAGAACGTTCTCTTTTATATAAGAAGGAAGTAAAATAGCTATTTAGAGGGTAATATTATAATTAAAGGCCTTTATAATAGCTATATAAATAATTATTCCTATTATTCTTATTTATAGGAGATATTAATTATACTAACTTAATTAAGTAAATAGTAATATAATAGAAAACTCTATAATTAGCGAAATCGTCGAAAATAGCTTAATAGTAAAGGTATTTCTAGCTCTTAATTTAATACTTAATATTATAAATAATAGAAATAGCTTATAATACTCGAATTTTATACTTTTATTATCGGATTTATCGTTAGATTACTCTCTTAATAGCTTCTTATTTACTTAGAAGTAATATATTAATATTAAAACGGAAAAGGTATTTTAATTTATATAAGCTTTATTTTATTATAGGTTTAATCTTAAATAACTTAGTTTATTTACCTCCTTCCCTTTCTATACTCTTAATTAAAAAGCTAATATTTTAACTTTAGAGTTTATTTACTATTTAAATATTATTTAATTATTATTCTATTAGTAATTCTATAAGTTTTCTATTAAGAGATTCCGAAATTATAGCTTTAGATCTATATCTTTAGTAAAAAAAGCTTATATTAAGTTTAAGAGCTACTTTCTAAGAGGTAAAAGCTAAGCTAACCTTTATACCTTATAAAAACGAATCTCCTAAATAATTAATAAGAAAAAAGAGAAATAAAAAATTTAATTTAATTATAAATATATTATTTTAATATTAAATTTTAATAAGAATAGATTATATAATAGTTTATACTTTTTATATCCTTTAAGGCTTTTAAGAAAATATAGAACGAGTTATAAATAGCTTTAAGAGCTAGGAATTCGGATTAACTATAATTCTAATTATTACTTTATTTTAATAGCTTTACTAAATAATAAAGGCTACTTTATTAATATATATTATATTCTTATTTATCTCTTAATTAATTATTAACTTTTAAGGATATTTTAATATATTAATAGCTCGATTAAAATATTATTTATTTTACTATTTACCCTCTCTCCTTTTTCTAATTTCTATTTATTAATTTTACTATAAATAGGCTATCCTTTAAACGGTTTACGAAGAAGCTCTCGAATTACTTTTAGATAAAGTCTTAAAGGGCGCTAAATATATTAAATAAGAATACCTATAGCGCTTAAGAGAAGCTATTAATAACGCTTCTATTATAGGATCCCCTAATACCCCGATTTCCCTCGCTTTTACTATATAAACTACTACTTTTAGCTAAGTATTATCGGAATAGGAATAATTAGAATTATTATCGTTATATTCTATATTAATCCTACTTTAGAAATATATTCCTATTATCCGTCTAAAGAAGAAAAGGAAGATTAATAGCGATAAATAAATAGACTTTATTATAGCGTAATTAATTAACTTTATAGAGGCGTCTCGTTAATAAAAGGCTATATAACGTCTTTTAGCTAAGGAGTAAATACGTAATACCTCTCTACGATTATAGCTATTATTAATAGCTACTATTACGTAGCTATTATATAATATATTATAGTTTTAGTAATAACTATAATAATAGTTTTAGGGCGAGTAGCCTAGGCTATTTATTCTAGGGGCTTCTAGAGACTATAGCTAATAATAAAGAGGATTCTAAATAGCCTTTAATAGAGGCTAATTTAGCGTTTACTATAGTCTTTTTAATATCCTAAATTATAATATAAAAAGATTAGTACTAGCTACCTTAAGCCGCTAAGGGCTATTAATAGCCGTTTAGCGACTCGCCTACCTTACTATTCTATCGAGTAACTCGAAGGTGTAAGAGACGAGTATAGGTATATAGTTACTATAGCTAATTTTAGTAGTAGAGCTGTATTTATGGCTTTACCCCTGTCGGGCAGAGTAAATAGTTAATAAGGGCCGAGTAAATAGTCGTCCTCATGCTGTGGTCTGCCCACCATCCCTGCGGAATTCGACCTGCTTCCGGGGAAGCTTCTATGCGCTACTGGGCTTTTTGACGTCAATTGTTGGACCCCGTGAGCAGCCGAATTTCTCGTATTCGACGAAAACAACGCACATGTCTCAGGGTCGCCTGCGATGAGCGGTGTGCCGTAGTCTGCTATCGCCAGGACCTGATCTTTCCGACGGAAATTTGTCCAGCGGATTGCGTGGGCTTTGCGAAATGCACACATCGACTGCACATTGCACTCCACCAGTTTATGCATGTCTGGAAAGGTGTACAGCACGGCTTGAGATGGTAGTGTCGTGCACCGTGGCTCAGCATGGGGTAGTTCGCGCCACCGCGCCTTGAGCAGTGCGACCTGAGGCTCAGCCGCCGTCTTACCCCTTCTTTCATCCAGTCATGCAAGTCCATGGCGTCTGTTCTGACTCAGATTGAAGCATCTTCACGATGTTGGTCTTACTCAGATCACATTGAGGCTTGCTGGTCGAGGATTGTCTATGGTTAACTCATCCTTAAATACTGCGTTCTCCAGCTTGCACTACAGCGGCTGCGGTTGGACAGAGGGTTCCGTAAGTTGTCTTTTGCAGGCGCCACGAGGCAGAAGATGATGGGTCGCTTGAGGATATCGTTGGCGTCGATAATCCTTCTACCATGGATTGAATAGTCTCACCACCCTTTGGAGAGGCTGGGTGATGACGGAGGACACCATTCGGCAACGTCTTATGACACATGTTTGCGATGGCAGTTTAAATCTTACGTTGTGGTGTTGTTACTTGCGACTTGCTAGAAATAACACTGCTCAGGTTGATTTTAGATGGTCATACGACTCCGAGTCAAACCTGGTGCTGGTCGCAAACTCTTCAAATGCTCACAGGAGTACGCAAGCAGTAGACAGGCCAGGTCAAGCTGTAAAAGATTTGGTACCTGGACATGATGCTGCTCACATGTCTACTCACCCAAATCCAAACCTTTCATTACCGAACCGTAATCGAGCGGATGTCCTTATCACGCCGGAGTTTTAGGCCAGTGGAGAGCAACGGAGGACCTCCACGTTGCTTACTTTCCTAGCCAAACAGGGCGTATCACTTCGAGAAGTAGAGTTCAAACCCGTATTGCTCTGTTTTTAAGCTTAAATCGATCGCAATAAACTTCGAAGTTCCTTGATAAGCTTGAAACCTTCAAGCAGTGACCAGCTATAGATTCTCGTATTCTAACTTTGACCTTAATTTGACGTCGGAGACACGTAATGAACAGCGTGTCCTCATCTAATGATCGTTTTCCTGTCTTGTGGCACCATGCAAAGAGCGATTGATGGTGTGTATTACTTTCCCCTCACTCGCCATCTCGGTACTGATAAGCAAGACCAGACCAGCAGTGAGTCACCCCGACTTCGGAGGTTTGCCGAACTCTCTCAATCCTGGGGCGCGGCCAACCAGACCGAGCTATAACATAATCTCCAAGGCCCAAATGGGACGTTAATGACGGCTAAGGATTCAAGCTTGCGAATGACTCTGACGACCCAACCAATTGCAGTGATTGTCGCGGACCGATACGGAAGCTAGGAAACAAGCCTCACATGGCCCCCATCCATCCACAAGTGGTCGAACCGCAACGCAGGGACTTCAATTTTGGAAACAGTGCGTCCTCAAAAACGGCTAAAAGCTATCACAGACAGGCAGATATTCCGGCCACTTCAGTCTCGCACCCCATCATCCCTACAACAAGAAAAGTCATCGAAATAGCAGGCAGCATTCCCGCTCCCCCCTCCCGCCATGACCCGGCAGTATGAAGACCACATCCTCACGACCCGCGGCACTGTCCCGGAGAACCGCCACCGCGTCCACGCCGCCATAGTCGACGCCGAGAACAACGTCCTCCTCGCCGTCGGCGATCCCGAGCGAGTGACGCTCGTCCGCTCGACCATCAAACCAGCCCAAGCCCTCGCCATCCTCGAGACGGGCGCCCTCAGCCCGGCCACAGACCCAGCCTTCACAGACGCCGACCTCGCCCTTGTCTGCGCCTCCCACAGCAGCGAAGACCGCCACGTCGCCCGCGCCTCAGCCCTGCTGGCGCGCGTCCCTGGCGGCGCCACGGAAGCGGACCTGCGCTGCGGCGGCCACGACGCCGTCTCCCCCGAGGTGAACCGGCGCTGGATCAGGGACGGCTTCGTCCCGGGCCCGCTGTGCAACAACTGCTCGGGCAAGCACGCCGCCATGCTCGCGGGCGCCGCGGCGCTCGGGGCCGGGTTCGCCGACTACCACTTGCCCACGCACCCGATGCAGGCGCGCGTCAGGAGCGTCGTCGAGGACCTGTGCGGGCTGTCGGGCGATCAGGTCCTCTGGGCGATTGACGGGTGTAACCTCCCCGCGCCGGCGGTGCCTCTGCGGAACCTCGCAATGACGTTTGCTCGGTTCGCGGCCGCGGCGGATGAAGTGGCGCACAAGTCGGCCGGAGCGGCGGCGACGACACCGTCTGCGCGGACGGAGAAGATGGCAAAGATATACCATGCCATGGCACAACACCCGGAAATGGTCGCCGGAGAGGATCGGTTTTGCACCATTCTCATGGAACTCTTCGGTGGGGCGCTGATTGGGAAGCTTGGTGCCGATGGATGCTACGCTATTGGCATTCGTGAGTCGGAGCATACGAGACGCCTTGGGGCTAAGGGCGCGCTTGGTCTCGCTGTCAAGATTGAGGACGGCAGTATCGAGATCTTATACACCGCTGTCGTCGAGATTCTCCTGCAGCTGGGAATCGAGATACCTCCCGGCGGCGAGGAACTGCTTAAATTCCATCAACTGAAGCGGAAGAACACGTGGGGAGTAGAGATCGGTGTCGTCACACCTGTTTTCAAGGTACGAGCAGCTTTAGCTGGGGAAGTATGAACTCCCTTATTGTTTGTTCAAGCATTTCACGACTCACTATACGACGACCTGGAAGTGCCTGTTCCGAGTTGGTAACGCGGCCACGGTCGAACAAACAGCTGATATCGAGACGGGAGCCTTACGAAAGCCCGCTGGTGGGCGGACTTTCAGTAGGCTATCACGCGAGTTGAGTTGGCAAGTAAGAGCAAAATGTAGCTTATAACTTATATACGAGGCCTCAATGTGAGGATCATTATCACAAGAAAATACAAGATACCCAAGAAATGCCAGTTTGGAAGGCAGGGCCTGCCAGGCTGAACCAACCATGCAATTTACCATCATATCATACCACTTTATCTGTCTCAGGACGCCTCAGCCAGCGCCTCCTCGTGCTCTCTCAGGATATACACGCTCATTCTGATACCTGCACCGCAGTAATTCAGCCTGTTACCAGGGCACAGGAAGGCGCACTCGTCGTCGTCCACCAGCTCGCCAGGCGCTGCTGTGCCCTCGCTGGGGACGTCACCCTCGGCGTTGAGGCGGTCACCACACCAGCACTCACGGCCATACTCGACACCCGCATAGTTGTAGCCAGCGCAGACGTCGAGACAGAGCTCGATATCCATCTCATCGCCGTCGTTCAGTAGCTGACTGGGTAGAAGACGGCCAGGGGAGGGCTCGGAGTAACAGCCCGTGTAGTTCCAGAGATCGTTACCTGGATAGACGGAAGGCGACGGCGTCGAGGTCGGGGTAGAGGATGATGGGATCGCAGAGCTAGGAACAAAGCTTGAAGAGGCAACGGCGGAAGGCGTCATCTCGATGACGGAGCTGGCCTCTGCGGAGCTGGATTGGGCAGCACTGGACTGAACAGTGCTGGACTCCACAGCAACCGCCGAGCTGGTCTCGACGACTGATGTGCTGGTCTCCTCATCGACGGAGCTGGGAGCAGGGGCAGTGCTAGCCTCAATGGCTATCTGAGAGCTGGCCCCCGCAACGGCAGAGCTGACTTCCGGGCCAGTTGAACTGAAAGCAGCAACAGCAGAACTGACGACCGCGGATGTGGGCACCGGGAGAGAGCTGCTGACAGCCCCCGAGGGCGTGTCCGCACCACCGAAGCGATACATCTGAAGCCTGTTGCCCGCACCGCAGAATTGCGAGCCGTCGCCGCCACAAGCGAAGTTGCAGTCGCCCTGGTTGGCCGCCAACACGCTGCCAGTGCCATGGACATCGCCGCACCAACACTCGCGTCCGTATTCGGCGCCAAAGTAAACAAAACCCTCGCAGAAGGCGGCACACTTTTCAAGCGTCAACTCGTCGTCGGCGTAGAAGCGACCGTCCAGGGCCCGAACGCCATCGCCCTCGGTATAGCAGCCCTCGAAAGACCAGTCGCCGATGAAGTCATCCTCTCCTGGTGTCGGCACTGGCGGGGCGGCAGACGTGACGATGCTTGAAACTATTGGTACAGAAGAGACAAGGGCAGAGGAGGCGGGGATCAAAGACGAAGTCGGCGCCGGGATAGTGCTGTTCAAAGAAACACTAGCAGAAGGGAAAGAACCTCCAGATTGGCGTTGGTAGATGTTGAGCCGGGAGCCGCCACCGCAGTACTCAGCAGCGTTGTCGTTGCAGGCCATGTTACACTCCGCGTCAGGCGCCGGAACGGCACCCGTCGTAATAGCATTGGCGCACCAGCACTCTCCGCCATATTGGACACCAGCGAACTCGTAGTCACGAAGCGAGCAGGCGTCCACGCACATGGCGACAGTTTGATCCTCGGTGGCGAAGAAGAAAGGCAGCGCGCGGCTCCCCGGGGCTTCGGTATAGCAGCCAATGCTGATGTACCCATCAACGCCTGGGTTAACAATGGGATCAGTAGGGTCCACCGGCTCCTCGGGCTCAGGGATGTTGGTCTCGTTGCCATCGAATCGCAGAGTATCGGCGAAGAGAGAAATGTAAGCGCCACCAGGTCCAGTAGCGATACCGTTGCCACCGCAGATCTGATTGAGGTCCCCATCACAGTCAAAGTTGCAGTTAACGTCCGCAACACGCTCCCTGGGGATGGTAGGGCCGGCCCAACACTCTCGGTGGTATTGAGTTCCGCAGAATACGTAGTTGCCAGCAGCGCATGCCTCCACGCACATAGCAATGGTGTTCTCGTCGTTTCCGTAGAGCTGGTTGGCCAATTGCCGGCCAGGGGTGTTCTCCCTGAAGCAACCGACATACTGATACTGCGACAGGCCATTCTCCAGGAGAGGAGCAGACTGTTCAGAGACAGCAGTACACTCAAATTGAATGTTCTGGTAAGCCACCGTGGGATCGTTGGTGTTGAGGCTCCAGGCAGCCTCACCTTGGTAGGGCTCCATGTTCCACTGTCTCTTAGGGACAGCACAGTAGAGCACGGCAGTTTCACTCTGACCAGGACCCAGGTTTGTACCCTCGCCAAGATCGACGGCATTGTTGGCCCTGATGATTCCGGAGCCGCCATGAGGAGGTTTGGAGACCGTAAGAGACAATCTGACACCACCAGCAGGGGCGGTGTTGGTGATGCGCATCCTGAGGTTCCTCACGTTATTCTGGGTGACCTCGCCAAACGAGAACGCGGTCCCTTCTTGATATGTTGTCCATCCCTCGCCATCAGGGCGCTCAAACTCGACGAGGAGCACAGGAGCCGCGCCGACGTGAGCGGTCATAGTCACATCGGCATTACCACCATCGGTGATGAATCGAATGTGCCCGCTGAATGCGCCTCCATTCGCGGGGCTCAGGGATACCGAGACCGTGGCGCCTGAATTGGCATCAATGGCGGAAGGAATGTTCCTGATTGTGAATGGTCCAATGGCTAGTGCGCCGCTGGCTGGATCCCAGTTTTGCAGAGTACCGTTGATAGTCTCAGAGTATCGGATTTCGTTGACTGTCAGAACAGAGTTGCCCTGGTTCGACAGCACGACATTGTTAGCAGGTGGCGCTGCGCCAGCTGTGATGACGTTGTCGAATTCGATTTCTCTGGGGCTGACAGAAAGTTTTGGGTTGTCCGTCTCGCCGGTGCCAGTGAGTCGGGCAGACGTAGTGGTACGGTATCCGGCGACGCTGTTCTCCGTCTCAATGTTGACATCGGTGGAGAGAAGGCCTAGGTCCGTGGGCGCGAAGGCAGCCTCGATTGCGAATGTGGCGCCCACAGCCAGTGTCAAGGGCAGTGGTGGCAGTCCTGAAATGCTGAAATCGGTTGCCTCACGGAGAGAAATGTCATTCACAACAGTGTTGATCAGAGCAGTGCAAGTCAAAGTCCGGGTCTCTGCGCTGGCTTCGAGGCTGACGGCGCCAAATTCGAGAGGCGAAGTGCACTCGATGGGGCGGTTGATCGGAGCGCCGAATCCGTAGAACAAACCAGTAGTCGTACCCAGGTACATGATCCCGTCGCCAAATACGGCGCGGCTGAATTTGGTAACGCCGGCAATCTCCCACTTCCGAAGGAGGGTAAGCTCGCCGTCGCGAGGAACTGCATCGTAGATGCGAAGCTGGCCGGGCGGGTTCTGTACGTCAGTGGTCCAGAGCATAGCAGTACCAGGCTCTCCGTTGAGAGAGGTGACAGTGCCGTGGCTCACGCCAAGGGTGTAGCCATTGGACTCTGGGGTCTCGGCCTCTTTGTTGAACGAAGGCACACCGTTGGCGCAAGAGAAGCGGAAGACGATGGTAGGATATTGTACGACTTGGGCAAGTTAGCAATAACGTTGGGAGTGAGAGGCAGACAAGAACCGAACGCACCATTGATGTAGATGTAACCACCCTGTCCAGGGTAGACACCAGCACCAGCATAAACCGAGTTCTCGTGCTCGTAAGTCTGGATGATATTATCGAAGCGATCCTCGCCGTTGCGGTAACCACCCATGTCATCAAGATTGATGAAGTAGGTCTTCTTGTTCTTGCCTGTCACAACTCCAATACGTCTGATGCTGCCGCAAGAGAATTCGTTGGGGAGAATTTGAAGTGGGCTCGATCCAAGATCCTTGTCGTCTCCATCCATAGCGCGCTTATCCCATGGTATGAAGAAGTCGACCAGATCTAAACTTCCGTCTTCTTGGATCGTCATGTGAACAGCAGCCTCCTCAAGTGAAGTCGGGGGGTTACGGCCGTTAACAGGAATCTCGGCAAGCTGTCCAGCGTATCCGTTGCCTGTCGCGAAGAAGATGGAGCCCTGGTCATCGGAAGCAAGGCCACCGCCGGCCATCCACAGGCCGCCGCCCTCGGTGTTCTGGGGTACGCCCTCGCCCTGCGTCGCAAAGCGCTCGACCTGTTCTCCGGTCGTCTTATCCCAGCCCATTACCCAGCCGGTGAAGTTGAATTTGACGCAATGGGAGCCGAGGCCGGCGTAAATATGCTGACCCACATGCAGCAGCGCAGGGCGTTGGAGATGGATGCCGCCATTGAAGCTTCGATCAGGGTTATTCCTGGCGACGGTACCCTCGAGATCAACAGGGAAGTTGGGACGCTCGCTCAAGTCGTTTACATCGAGAGCGTGCAGGTAGTAGCGTCCGGCGGGGCGACCTTGAGCGACATCAACAAGTTCCTGGTTCTCGTAGGTCTTGGCAAGGAGATAGTAGGTGCCGGTGTCAGGATCGATGACACCAGTACCAGTGACACCGACGTGGGGTTGAATATCGTAGCATCCGTCGAGGTCTGCCGAGAGGAAAGGAATGTGGAGATTGCGTGAGGCGAGGATTTCGCCCGTCTGCGCATCGAGTTTGTAGACATTGTTCTGCGTGGTAGCAAGATAGACGTACTGCTTGTCGCCGGGAGTGTAAACGAGTGGCTGAGAGAAGATCTGCTCGGCACGGCCGCCATATCGGCCGGGAAGTGTGGTTTGGAAGATCTGATCGAATTGAGAACTACGGACGACAGCCGGGTCCATGTTATGGTTACTGGAAAGAAACATGTCAGTGCTACTTCAAGGGGGCCGGATACGGAACGGGGACGCTGACGTCTGGTAGCCGGCGCGCGAGTTATCGCCACCCCAGGTGATGGTGTCGGTGTCGGCCAGGCCATTGGCAAGGCCGGCGACCGCTGCCAGCATCAGCCAGCGGAAAGAAACCATGGCCGCGAACCTAAGCTTGACGAACGAGTGAGTCAAGAAAGGATGGGAAAGCGGATGAAAGATCGAGAAATCCGCCCGGCAAAGCCAGGCGGGCGGGCCGCTGGTAATATTCGTCGATCATACGGCATCCTTGTTCTGTTCCTGATGGGTCCCCTCGATTTTCGGGTGTGATGCCGCGCCGCGCGGTGCCTTGTCTGCATTGCTTCCTCGGATGAGTAGTACATACATGTAGAGAGAGCAAGGCCCCGAACTCTGCACTTGTGGACGGGCTCCGCCAGTCGGCGCCTGCCAGATGATGGATGGCTCATGGCCGCACGCCCGCTTGGTTTGGCGAAGCGACTGGGCAATAGTGGGGACGCGGTCAATCTTGGATGTAACAGGCAGGCCGATGAGAAATACTGTCGCTTGTGTCGCTGGTGCCAAGGCGTCTGGAAAAAAGGACCCCCTCCACCGTCCGATTAATCTCTGTAGGAGGCAGTCGGTGCCCCTCTTCTCGATTCCTCCAGCGGCCGGGGTGCCGAACAGTTGCGACGGGGGCGTAGGTTCCTGACGATCCCACCTGTTTGGGCCTGGTTCCCATGCACGAATAGACGAAGATGCTGGGCAGTGGCGGTGCCAGGCCGCTGGCCGGGTCTTTGTCGTGTGCTGGACCTTTCCCCTTGGCGGGCTACTGCAGAGATTCATACTCCAGGCACACGTTGCTGCTTATCTTTCGCGGACACGTGGTGGCCAGCGATTTTTCTTTGTCGCCATCGGAGGCCCCAAGGTTGGCAGATGCCTGGCGAGTAGAGCATTACCAGGGAGGAGGTTCGCCTCGGTACCTATCGAAGGAACAGATATTTCCCCTCGTTTGCTCTGCAGAGGGTTGCTCCGCTGGTGAAGAAGCCAGCTCATTGTTGCGGCAAATCGAGAGGTTCGTCAGGTGTTCTGGCGAAGGCGAGGAGGCACTCCTTCGTCCAATTTCCAGAAGCGGGGGCGGTTCAAGGGGCAGTTGCAGGCTGTCGAGGGAATCGGCGCGGAAAATGCAGGTGGCCGTGTGGCGCTAACGCAAGCCACGCAGGCCCTCCGACTGCCCCGACAGATTTAGCGGGTCTTGTCAAGTCTTGGCCTCGTATCGCTCACCAGCATCGCGATCCTCTCCCCCTTCGCTTCAGCAGGACAATGTCCCCCAACCGGGGTGGCGGCAGTCTGCGTCTGCTCAAAGGTGAGGGCCCTGGAAGGATTTCTTCGAGCCTCTCGATCGAAGCGGGCTGCGACAGCCGCATCTTTGGCATTGCAGTTCTTCCATGTCGAAGCCCATCTTTGGCTTCAAAGATCATGGTGTTGGATGATTCAACCCTGCCCTTGGCCCGACCGCCAGTGGCAGTGATGAGCTTAAAGGATACAAGGTCGACCCCCACCAGCGCAAGTGACGAAGCGACCGACCATTTGTGGCGGAGCTGCGTCCGCGGCATCAGTTACTACAGACGTTCATGATCGAGTACTGCTGCCAAGTCACGCCGCTTTGTCTTCATCCCGATGACCTGCAAAACGTGTCAGGGTCCTAGCTTTTTCTTTATTTCGGACTTGATTCTTGCTGCCCGAAACAGATGGTTCGGGGTATCACAGCTTACACAAGTGAGACCTGAGATCGAGTGGGCCCAAACGTTATTTCCCTCAATCTAAGCTAGCATCTACAACATCCATCTCTTTCGGCTCGAGCGTCTCGATCGACAAATATGGAATAGTGTTAACCTACCTTACCTACCGCATATTTGCCTTCGGTGGGTGACAAAATCAGAGATCGGTCTCAGCAGAGCACACAGCCGTCTTGCGTCATGCACCTCCACCCAAACTGCCGGGGGTAGGCTTCCCACCTACCCTAGCACGAGTCGACCTTCAATGCCGTTGCAGTAGTGGGTGGCATTTCAGTGGCATGCTCGAACAAGTTGGTCCCTCGCTTTTCGTTTCCAGAGAGCTGGAACTCATGCACGCGCCCCTTTCAGACTTGGCGGAAGGACACTTCAACGATCAAGAGGCGTCTGATATACGCTCCTCGTTGGTCTTTGAATCATGCTATCCCAGACTTTTGCGACCCATGGCAATAAAACCTGCCCTACAGCTACCTGTCTTTTAGCCCGAGACGCCCCGCCGCTAGGCCTTGTGGTCGATGCCCCGCCGCCCTCTGCCGTAATGGGCGGCCGTTGCTAGCGTTTGCATCTGTCCGTTCGCCCGAGGGAGCCGAAGAGACGCTAAGGCCCTGATCGTCTCGAGCATTTAGTGCCAAAAGATCATTAACCTATATAGAATATAGCCCGTACCTATAACGCTTTACTTAATTTAATAGGCGTTTTATATTAAATAAATAGTAAGCTAATATTTAACCGAATATTATATAATAAATATACTACGCTAGTAGGGTACCTTAGTTTATTTAGACCTTCCCTAAATAGGAAGGGATTTATAACTTAATATTAATTATTTAAAGTACCCTCTTAGTATTAAAAAGATACTTATTTTTAAGTTAATATACGCTAAAATAGAGGTATCTTAATTATTAATAGAAGAATCTAAATCGCTTAGGATTAACGATAAAATCGACGAAGTCGTTATATTAATTCTACCCTTCGTTATCGACCTCCTCTCGCCTCTTCTATAATTCTATTAAGAGGCCCTATATTAGCGAGTACTAGAGTAGGTACGCCTAGTATAGTAACTTATAATAGCTTAACTAAAGGGCTTAGATTATACTTTTATCGGTATATTTCGTATCTCGAAGCTAGAATTCTAAGTACTTACGAGCTAAGCGTAAGCTTAGTATATTATTCGAGGCTCTTAGTATCGATTAGTAGAATAGAAGTTATTAATTTTTCTATATATTATTAATTATATAATAATATAAAAGGTAATAGAAAGTCTATTAAAAGTCCCTTAGAACTATATTCTAAAGATATTCAACGAGGTATTATAAACGTTATATAAGCTCTATATCGAGGTTATAAAGCTTTTTATCGACGATTTCCTTAACGAATTTATCGAGCTAAACCTATAATATTATTAATTTAATAATTATATCGGAGCTATTAATAGAACTTATATATCGGCCTTTATAAAGGCCTCCTCTTAGAGGAGATTCTTTAATAAGAAAGGAGGGATATCTTAGAACGTATTCGCTATAATAAAATTCGATTTTACGTTTAATTACGTTTTAATAGGTATAGAGGGGTTAGTAAACGATTTTACCTTTTTAATATAAGCCTTAATAAGGTCGTTTTAAGTATTTAAAGGCCGTTTCTATCTCGCGGATAATAGGTTTATATAAGACTTTCGAGGGTTTATTATATTATTTAGAGGATATTAATATTACTTTAGAGACTTCGAAAATATTAATTAAGATAACCTATTAATAGAGGATAGGTATAATCGTATCTATATATACCTTTAAGCTATTATTAAGCGGGTTTTTAGTATTTTAAAGTATATATTTACTATATTAAAGAAAGGACCTTTAGAATATTTATTTAAAACGTAAATTAATATAATATATACTCTAATAGGTCTCTAGAATTTCTTATAATAATAATAAAATAAAGAGGATAATTTAAAAAATATTAAATCTATTATAAGTATTAGAATAAATATAGAAGAGGTATTATAGAAAGTAAAAGAGAGGGCGTAATATTAAATTAGAAATAAATAAAGCTTAGAATTAAAGTATTAAATAATAATTCTACTTAGAAATTAAAAGAATAGGTCTTTAATTTATTAAAACGCTTAAATCGATTCTAAGCTATATTATATATAATTAATATTATTAACTATATAGGCTAAAATCTATATTTAAATATTAAATTACCTTTTCTATTAAATTAATCCTTCTTTTTATATTAACTTATTTACTATTTACGTTACTTATTATATTTATTCTTTATAGAAATAATAATTAAGAGCTTTATAATAAGTAATTAAAGGTAAAAGCCTTAAAAGGATTATTAAAGAAGTATTCCTTTACTTCTAAAAGACCTTTAAATCTAAGATATTAACTAAATAGCTACTTATAGGTAAATAGTACTTACTTTATTACCGCCTCGCTTTTAGGAGCTATAAGTTTATCGAGGCCCTCCCGAATTACTTAGGTAGCTACTATCTAGCCCTATATTATTAAAAGTTAAGCCTTAGCCTATTAATATTACGAGGAGAGTAAAGAGGCTGAAGAGGGTGAGTTAAGGCTAGAGAGATCGACCCTTAGAGTAGGAGTCTCTATATTATAGCTTAGATCCTATATCTTACTCGGTTTCTCGATCTACTACCTCTTTCCCTACCCTCTAACTATATTCTCGTCGCTTAAAGGCTATTATTAACGATAATCCTAAACCTCTATAATATCCTCGCTTATTATATACGTATAAAGCTATATCTCCTTTATTAGAGAGTCGATATAAAGGAAGCCTCGAAGCTATATTTAGGCTATATAGTTATTCCGTTTCTCGAAGGTTTCTTAGTTCTATTTAGAGGTTAATATCTAACCTATTTTATTATTATAAATTATTCTAAAAGTCTCTATAAACTATAGAATCTTCCGATATTTAATATAAAGATTATTATATTTTATAGAGAGCGTTTATAAAGTAATATTTAATATAAAGAATATTAATTATAAATTAAATAAGATTTCCTCGAATATAGCCTTAAGAGTAATACGCTTATTACTTATTATAAAAAGTCTTCCTTATATTACTAAATACTTAAAGTATTTAAGGAAGAGCTTCGTAGCCTCTAAGTATTATATAAAACGACCCTTCCGCCCCTAAATTTAGCTAATATTCGGGTCTTCTTATATATAGAAGAGAGATTCGGATTCTATTCGCGAAGAGGTATCTTTATCGCTATTAAATAGGTTAATTTCGTCGAGATCGAGGATATTTCGCTTAAGCGTAGAAGCGATTTTAACTATATTATTATTAATAATTAAAGGGTTCGATTTTATAATAGATATATAGAAATTCGTATAGTAGAGGTATAGAATTAATAGATTTAATTATAATTTACGATTAAAAGAGAGGGTTAAGGCTCGATATAGAAAGGAAAACCCTTAATCCGACTATCTCTAACTATTTTCTTAATTAAGTAAAGAACTAAGGGCTTAGAGGTACTTCCGAAATAGTGCGCTAGTACCGTTTTAAGTAAGTTACTTAGAGCTAAATATATTTAGCTTTAAATGCTCGAGACGATCAGGGCCTTAACTTAGTAGGTACCTAGGTACCTACCAAGGTAGGATAGGATTTAGTGCACCGCCTACGAATACAGCACAGCGACCACCTAGGTAGCTAGGTAGATGCCTAAGGTAGGTAGGTACCTCGGGCAGGTGTTGAGGGGACACGAATCCGAGCCTAGGTACCTTAGCTAGGCTTGTCTGGTTCTGGTGCCTGCCCGTTGGTGCCCGCTGCCATTTCCACCAAGTCGAATAGTCAAATAAGGCAGGGCAGGCACCGAAGTAAGCTGGTAAGCCACTGGAATGGGTACGCCACCGTGAGTGAGTAAGGGCAGGCTCGGCAGGCACCTCTTGCCTTTTGCCCATGGCGGTTGACAATAGCCCGGAAGGAGGGTCTCAGACAATGGGCTGTCAATACCACCTTGGACCACTTTTCATCTCGTAACCAAAGCCATCGACGTGAACATCATCGTAGCATCACAACGGCTGCCCAAGTCGGGCCATGAATGATCTGGCAGCGTGTGGGCGCATGTCTAGGCAGACAGGGAGGGTTGTTGTTGCAGCGCTACCCGACTGAGATGACATGACACGGCGACATCACCTGTCTTCAAGCGCTCGAGCATACCACGGCATCCAGGCCAAAACGCTAAAAGTCCACGTCAGTCATTAGTTTCCACAGAGGAGAAAGTCTATGATCGACTCGTCACTGCTTCCTGGAGAGGCCTCCCTGGACCACATTTGCACAGTTTGCGACACTTGGATCCCGAGCCGCATCAGTCCTCGGACGACAACCGTAAACCTTGGCCGGACATGCGCAACAAACAGCTCGAACGCCCCTTTAGCGAGGCGTCCACGTGTCTCTGTACACTCTGTCTGTTTACCCTCGTGTAGATCCCGCGGCAAAGAGTTCAGATGGCTTGGCCACCATGACAGCTTCTCACGCGTTATCACTGCCCCGGGTCTTAACCCGCCTCGGCGTGGTCTAGGATTCTTAGGATACCGCTGGGATTGTAAAGTCGATCCGCATGACCTCAATTTGCATGACTTTGGACGAAACGTCGCCCATCCGATACTTGCATCAGGCTGCAGCTTGTAGAGTCTTCGAGCTACATCCAAACACCAGTTTCGGCAATACCGTCGGCTCAACGTTGTCACAGGTATCGCGCACCTGGTAGATCGGTCAGCCGCTCGGTGGCACTGGGATCATCTACAGCGGCCTATCAATCCATGATACATGTGTTATGGCATACTTTGGTCAACTTTAGCCCATCGGGCGGCTGTTCGAGGAGGCTGAACGGGCCTCGGACGGCCAACATACGTCACGCGAGGCCAGTCGTGCAACATGCCTAGTCTGCTGCCGGAAGCTCGCAGCAGCCTGGACTAAGATCATTGCTTTCCGATGAGGTTGTCGTTGACACAACTAGGAAAGGGGTCGTCGACTCCGTTAGCGCAAGGTTGTTCGGGTTCGACTGATTCACGAGACGAAACATGTTGCCTGCGATACCACCTTTCAACCCAGCCAAGATGTAAGATGGGCCACACGCTACCGTTCTTCCAAGTTTTTCTTTTCCATCCTGGACATTCACCCGCCAAAATCCTCGGTGTAAGGCATCGTCCGATCGCGGTTCTTCCGGGGTCATTTGGATTTCCTATGTGCAATTTGCAAGCTGAACACCACGAACAGTCTGACTGGCAAGATCTGCTCATGACACGTTCGGACCGGAATACGTGCGACTTCCCCAGTCCTAAATGGTTTGCTGTTCATTGACCCTCTTGGTAGTTCTGTCGACGTATGCTGTGGAAAGGACACAATCGTTCTAGGACTGCATCATCCGTCTTCTTTGATCCCATCCAGGCTTTACACTAATTGCCCGAATCACTCGTTTACATGATGAACCAGTTGTTCGATCAGCGACGAGCCACCTCGAAGGCGAGCTCTCCCGTGTACTTGATACAAAATGACGTGAGCAGTGTTCGATTACCGAGCAGTGTACGACTGTGGCGTCCTCAAGGTCCTTACCGCCTGAGTTGCAGCTCGGTCACGATTCGCTTGGAAGGAAACTTGCCGCCCGGCGTCAAGCTTCCTCGTCAAGCAGCCATTCAACCCAGTCGGGAGCACTACACCGAGCTACATCCTCGTTGAGTACGAGGTTAGTTTCATTCTCAAAAGCAAAGAGCGGTCTGTATCGAAGTGTCAGGATGCCGGGCTCGTCATGATCTCGCAGTATACGAACGATTGTGTAACGACAGCTACTGCAGCGGCACATCGTATCAAGACTACTTTCATAACGACTGTTACGTGTACTGGTGCTAGAGTTAGTAGGCTTGAACGAATCGCAGCACGTCAGTAGCCATGATTCCTTCAACAGCACCACAGGAGCTAGGAGCCAGGAGCGGAAGAAAGTATAAATTCACCACACGTCATCCAACGGTGAACATCAGAACCCAGCAAAGTGCTAACACATACATCCGTTCACTCGAGCAGCCAGAGCCCCCGTAAATCGCCCTTCTCAAAAAGCAACATGAAGTATTCAGCAATCACATCTTTCCTTCCGGCAGCTTTCGCTGCACCTATAGGTGGTCGCGATACAGACGTGCAGCTACCCCGAGGCTGGATAGCTGTCAACGCGTTTGAGGTTGCTCGGATGATGGCTAGCTCGCCCGCCGACAACATATTCAGCAAGCGCTTCCCAGGCAGTGTAAGTTCACCTCTGAAGAAGACTTTGCGCAGGGTCTAATAGTCATGACTCCTTGAACAACAGGTATATATGTGTACCGAGGCAGAATGGGCTGGCGAATGCGCACGCGTGACCGTTCCCATCTCGTATACATGCCAGGATATTCCGGCGCCGTTCACGTACAATCTTGGTTCCATCGGGCCAGATCGTGGAGCGCTCTGCCGCATAACTACGTGAGAGCAAGGAAATCCGCCAGCCTCTCTTCCCTTATTCCTAACGTGTACCACAGAGTATCGAGCCAGTCCAGCTGCGATGCACACGGCGATATCTTTGTCGAGTTCCCTGGCATCAGGAACTTATTCAGCTTCAAGGAGCAGAACTATGGCAAGGATGCACATCACATCGAGTGCCAGGAGTGCACTGCTTGCCAGGGCGAAGATTGATGGTCAGCCTTCTAGCAAGGCTATAGAATGGATGGTATGCTGCAGTGTCGACACCAGTCTACATATGCAGACCCTGGGCCCAGAGTCATACATGGTGGGAACTGGAAACAAGGGCAGAGGAAGACAAGACATCACAGTAGCGCGAGGATGCTGAGCAACACAAATATTCACTCGAGCCTTGCGTCTCCTAACCGCCTGCTACGTCAAGTCTGCTGCAACAAGCATTTGGGGAATCTGGGGTAGTGCAGTTCACCCCGCATGAGCAACAACCTGCTTCTTGTCTTCCCCACGTCCCATGTTCCCCGTCTTGCGTTGCCGTCATGCAAGTCGGTCACAGGCGCTCCAATGAGCGGGCGGCGTAAACCAGAGGCCTGACGACACGGCTCCAGCGCCCCCGGAAAAGTGCCGGCTTAGATTGAAAGAAACCATCAACACCGCCAGACCAACCACCTCGAAGGAAGGTGATCGACGAAGCTTGCGCTGATAGCCCACCGCGACTACGACGTTCCATTGTAAGCTTCCTCGCGTCTGCGGCCAAACTACCCCCGAGCTGGTTCTTGCCGAGATGGGAATGCTGCGAGTTGAGCGAGCTCTCGTCACTCAGACTATTGTTCCACCGGCGGCAAAACACCACGTGCTAGACGCACCACTCAGGATGCATTCCTGTCAACGATTCCTTGATCTGCACGCGACCTGAGGCGGGGCGAGATGTTCCTGTGCCGGGAAACGCTTAAAAGCCCGGGGGAGCGCTCGATGAAACCAAGCGCGCACTCCAGCGTTCGGTGTCGTTCTCATCAGGTCCTCTCCTCTTCATCGCCACCATGATCCTTCCCACAAGCTCCCTTGCGGCAGTGGCCTGTGTCCTTCCGTTCGTTCTGGGCACTCCCCTCTCGTACGCGACGACCAACACAACCAACACTACGACCCCCGGTCCTGATGCCGACGGCAAATACTGGATCTCCAGCGAACACCTCCGCGCCGCCTTTGTCCCCTACGGCGCTTCCATATCAGACCTCATCGTCCGCGATCGTAATGGCGTGCCCCGGGACATCGTCGCCGGCTGGGATAACGCTACGTACTACACAGAGGATCCCGTGCACCCAAACTTTGGCAATGTTCCCGGCCGCTACGCCAACCGAATCCGCAATAGCACATTTGATATTGACGGCGAGACGTTCCATGTGAAGCCCAACGACAACAAGACACCCGAACACCCCGAGGGTCTCAACACGCTGCACGGCGGACCCGATGGGTGGGGCTGGCGCAACTTCACTGTCGCCGCGCACACCAAGAACAGCATCACCTTCTCGCTCGTTGACCCGGCTGGCAAAGAGGGCTTCCCCGGCGAGGTCATCTCGTACGTGACGTACACCCTGCGCGGCTGGGACTGGGACATCTCCATGGTGGCCGTGTCGACCACGGCGCGCACGCCCATCATGTTAAGCAGTCACACGTACTGGAACCTCGACGGGTTCGCCAACGAGGAGACCAGCTCGGCCGACGACCACGTCCTGCACCTGCCCTACAGCGGGCAGCGGATCGGGGTCGACGGCATCCTCATCCCCACGGGCGAGGTGCTCGCCAACGAAAAGGGGTCCGTTAACGACTTTTGGTCTGCGCCGAAGCCCATGGGCGCCAACGCCACGAGCGACGAGCTCGAGGGCAACTGCGGCACCGGCTGCACGGGCTATGACAACTGCTACACCGTCAACCGCGAGGCGCTCGGGAACTACGACTGGCAGTCTTCGGGCTACGTCGCCCGCTTGTCGTCGCCGTGGTCTGGCATCGCCGTCGAGGTCTTCTCGGAGCAGGAAGCGCTGCAGGTGTATAGCTGCACGCAGCAGGACGGAACGATCCCTCTCAAGAAGACGCAGGGCACCGACGCCTTCCCGCGCATCATCCCGCGGTACGGCTGCGTCGTTCTTGAGGTGCAGGATTGGATTGACGGTATCAACCACCCCGAGTGGGGAAGGGAGAAGAGGCAAGTATTTGGCCCGGAGGATGGGCCCTATGTCCTCCAGGCGCGGTACTCCTTCAGCGTGGACAAGGCGTGAGGTCGCGTACGCGAGTCGTGGTATGAAAGTGGTTGATAGTATTTGGTAGTGTTCAAGAGCATAATTGCAAATCATTCCATCCCACCGCCGCGGGTTCGGAAGCATGAATCAAACTCGGCTTCAAGTCATCTTGCCTCGCCTCGGTCAGCTCACCAAGCCCGCCCTCCTTGAGACGGGCATCTCGCGCAACCGCTGACTCACCGAAGCCACCCGGCGTCTTTGGTGTGTCGATACGAGAAAAGCTAACAATGTCCTCACAGCCAACTCAAACATCACCGCGCCCCCTTGCAAAGTACGTCTTCGGATCTTGCCATGAATCCGCCACCGTCGCTACTCCCTTCCTAGACACGCCTGACGCAAAGATGGTCGCAACCGGAGGATTCGCCGTCAGACGCACCATTGGGCATATGTTCGTGCCCCCAGTACCTTGGTTTCCACCTCCGAAAGCCAGCGCCCACAGATGTGTGTACATGGTGAGCCGCGCCGTTGGTGTCCCGTGATGCTGATGCCCCACCCCACATTGCGCAGCCCCCAATGCAGTCCGGGTGGATGGACGCAGGCGCCGAGGGGAGAAGGAAAAGACACACGACAGAGACAAGGACCGTCGAGAAGGCCGTCAAAGCAAACTGATCGTGCCGCGCCGAGCGACTTGCCCGGTACATCAACACACCACACACATACACAACACACACACACACGATCAACGGTGCTCAGCTGAGCGTCGGTACCTGACCAGACGGTGCCTATCAGCGGGATTCGTGTCACCCACTCGCCGTTGAGTTTCGTGTCCCCGTGTCAGACGTCCAAGTCACCCGCTCACATGACGGTCGCACGGTAGGCCCAGCCATCAGCCTACTTCATTGTGGCGAGTTAGCATGTCAAGGAACAAATTAAGATTCATCACAAGGGCGCACATATTCGGACACCAATCATGATCGTTACAGTGGCTTCTCCCACCTATTAGGTATGGCTGGGCGAAACCACCCTTCGTAGATACAGCCCATTTACGCTAGGTACCCTGATCTCCTACCATCATGACCACAGACTAATGGCGGCTCTAGAACAAGTTGATGCGAGATCCATATGTACGGTACCATGGTCCTTCCAATTGCCCTGCCGCGCGCCTTGCCTGCCTCCGCCTCGCGGCGTCCAGCAAGACCTCCAAGCTTGCCAGTCTCCTGTCGTGTCCAGCCCGCAGTAACCCAGTAAGAATGAAGGCCTTTTGTTTTGTTTTTGTACATCTGGTGGCACATGCCCGTTCCCTCTCCCCTTGTCATCTGTTGATGGCCATGATGTCAATCTTTGTTGTCCCAGGACATCTCTTCCCTAGTTGCGATTTCTGACAAAGGAAAATGCCCGGTTTGGACGAGCCGCTGTGCGAAAAGGATGAAATCGCCCGATTCAGTCTATAAAATAGGGGTATTGTCGGAAACCGATGGTGAAATGATGTGGAAAAATAACTAAGGAGTGAATGCGCGCTCAAGCGGATCGACTGTCAGGCGAAATGGTATCGAATGTTGTGAGTCGAAAATGGAACCCTTCTTGTGGTTCCTGAGATGAAGGCAATGCCGCAAAGTAGAAGAAAATCCAGAAGCAACAGAAAATCAATGGCCGTCCCTAATCAGACGACTAAGTAGCAACGTAGGTATCCGGCCGCTCCCCAAACTCCTTGCGAAATGCCGAGAGGTAAAAACACACAAGACTTTTGTTGCTGAACATGCCGTTTAACCATGTGAAAAGTTCCTCCCAGAAAATAAATTATCCTTTAGAATCGGTTACCGGCAGCCCAAATGCTTGCAGATGCGGAGGCTGCCCACTCGCTTTCCTCATAGGGGGGCGTCGGCCACTTGTATTCGGCGTTGCGGTTCTTCTTGAGGTCAAGAGGCTTGGGCGTCAATGCGCCGTCGCCAAAAGCCGCCGCGTTGCCGCTTCCGGATGGCGACGGTGTAGGGTACGGATTGGCGATGCCAATGTTGCTGGCCGATTGCCGAAGTCCGGGCTTGCCATCCTTTTCCATACGCTTCATAGCTCGATGCGTCGAGTTGAGAACCTCGTCCAGCAGCTCGTCTTCTTCGTCAGGAGCTTCGTACTGGTGTACACCTTGCGTGGCCTGAGCGCGACGAGTGCGGCTAGAAATAGGACCACCACTGCGCGCAGCCATCATCAAGTTATCGACCGAACGTGGCTGACTGTGCTTTGGCAAGGAGTGATGTCTCTTGAGGTTGTTGGTGGGCGACGCGTGTTGAGGGGGCACGGGTGCCTGCAACTCGCGATGCTGCTGAACATCTCTTAGAGCCCTGTCAAGCGACTCATAGGTTTCGGCCTTGGGCGGCGGCGGCGGAGATTGATCAATCACCATTGAAGACCTGTTGCTGTTCCAGGGTCCACAACCAACCTGACCCTCGATAGATTCATGCGTTGGCGAGATTGGTGTTTGATGCCTTCCGGAGAACCGTCGAGCACGCTTCCGCAGGTGAGAGAAGAAGCCCTCCTTCTGACCGCTCGGTGGAGAAGCGAGTCCAGAGTTGCCGTTGAGGGCCCGCTCAGCCTGCTGACGGTGGATCTCCGCGTAGTTGTTGGTACTGGACGCGACGGATAGCTGTCGGCTGACCTTCGCAGGCTTTCCTTCAACCTGGACTGCCCGGTGGCTCCCATTCACGTAAGCATCGTTGTACGAGCCGTTGCTGGCTTGTGCCGTGACAGCGTCGGACAGCGGCGAGATGGGCCTGATGGTAGGCAGAATTGGCATTGGCGCAACATTGGACGGACCATTAGTCCATGTGCTTCGCTTGCCTGCAGCAGGCCGGGTCTTCGTGACGGGGACTTCGTTCGTTGTTGATGCATGGACCGGGGCGGGCCGAGGAGCTGAATTGTCCTTTGCCGCGAGTTGGGCGATTGAGATATCGGTTGTCTCGGAACGTCCGATGAGAGATTTGCGGAACCACGACGGCTTGGATGAAGTGGGCGTAGACGCTGTTGAGTCTTTGCCACGGCCAAGGTCTGATTGCTTCCTTCCCAGAATCCTCGAAGCCGAAGACCGAGGGCGAAGAGGGTCGACAGCGTCGATGAAGTAGTCATGAGCAAGCGCCTGGGCAGAAGTGGGCCTGTTCTTGGGGTCCCACATCAGGCACCAAGTCACGAAATGACTTAGCTCTCGAGGCCATGTTGGCGATTGGAGAATCGTGTCGAGAGCATGTGGTGCCATCTTGGGGAAAGAAAATCCGAGCTTCCCGGCCAGCCGAGTACCCTCTCGCCACTCACCTCCGCCAACACGACCACCGGATTTGTTGTACCAGTTGCCCGGGCTTCCCATGATCTCGCATACCCGCCAGACCTGGTCCACCTCGTTTCCGCCGGGGAACAGAGGCTTCAGTGTGGCGACCTCAACGGCCATGGCGCCGATGGCCCAGATGTCAACAGGCGCCGAATACTCGCCGGCCCTCAGCAGGACTTCGGGAGCACGGTACCATCTCGTTGACACGTAGGTCGTGTACGCGAGCTTTGAGTGCGTTTCGCGAGCAAGGCCAAAGTCGGCAATCTTGACGGTATAATTGGGAGGTGTTGACGGAGGCGTAACGAGGGCGGAGTAACGACGGAAAGATGTGACGGAAGAGTCTTGATGTCCCGACGTGGTAACCAAGATGTTCTCAGGCTTGATGTCACGGTGGAAAAAGTGGTGGGCGTGAATATGCTCCAGACCTTGCATGATTTGGAACAGAATGCTCTTGACGCTGGCGTTGTCGAGGACCTTGTGGTCACGCGCCTTCATGAGCTGGTATAGGTTGCCCTCCATGTACTCCATGGCGATGTGGAGTTTCTTGCTGTAAGGGTCGAGGAAGATGTCCAGAGCCGGAACGAGGTGGGCGTGGGGAGGAAGGGTGCGAAGGAAGACGACCTCGCGAAGCTCCAGACATGCGCTGAAAGACTCAAAGTTCTTCTTCATCGTCTTGATGGCGACCTGAATTGAATTGGTTAGGGACAACGAAGGCACGCCAGACGCTTACGGCGAACGCGACTTACCACTGTACCGCGGCGGGCCACATGGGCACCTGCGCTGCGGACTCTGGCTAGAGCCACGCTTCCAAAGCTGCCATCGCCAATTTCCTTCAGGACCTCGAATCGATCCTCCAACGCAACCATGTTGGCGCTATGGGAGGACGACCCGCGATGGGTCAAATCGTGTGCAACAGTCATTTCTGCTTGGGAATCTGACGAATGTGATTTTTAGGTGTCGGCCTTCTCAGCCAGGACGGGTGCCTCAGCTCAAAGGCTGTAAGCGGGTCCGTTCCAATTGCTGCGGCCTGTCTAGGAGCTCCTTGAAAGAGCTGGTTTCAATTGCCGGAGCATCCAGATCCAGCGGTTGTTCAATGTCCAAGATGAACGAGACGGTTTGTAGGCGAGTGATGGGTTGTTACGGTCGAACGTCGAGAAGAGCGAAAGTCGTCTGGCTGCGGTAGATTGGCAGAGAGTATGTGGATGGGAGATGGTACGCTGGAATGCACTGCTGAGGGAGCGAAATCAGGGACTGATGAATGGGGGCTGGTGACAAGGAATGACTGAGGTGAGTGAGTGATGTGTTCCTGAGGCGAGAGAGGGTCTGGCAAGGTTGATATTGTTGGAAAAGGAGACCGACCAGGGTCAGGGTGCGCTCGAGCCAGAACCAGTCGATCGGGGATGGATCCTCCAGGGAGGTCTCCAGTTCAGGCGTCGATGATACCTTGACAGATATGGTTACTGTGTGTAATGTCGCTCCGTCGACGCGGCGTGAAATTCTGTGAACCGAGAGGAGGGGTAGCTACTCTCAGAGCAGAGGAGTTGGCTGAGTTTGAGACGAATCTCGCTTGTCTTTTAGGAAAGACAGGTAGAAAGTGAGGGTGGTGATCGAAGGGGGTGGTGTGTGTCGCGTGGGGGGGGGGGGGGGGGGGGGATGGATGCACTGCAGGACACTGCCGAAGCTGCCTGTCGCGTCCGTCCGGGAGTGGTGTTTGAGGGAGAATGACAACCAACGAAACACAACCAGGGCAGTGGAGGAGATGCAGAGACCTGGGAGCTTGGGAGCCAACAAGTTGGATCACGACAGTGAAAGGTCTAGTGGGTGATTTCTTTTGGATTTGGGGGGGGGAGCCAACTCCTATGCCATGCGCTGTTCGACAAGGCCGAGAGCCTGCCCTTAGCATGAAGATGAAGTGTGAATCCGGGGGGGTCGAGCGACGAAGAGCAGGGAGCCCAATTTCGCTAAGGCACCGCGGGACTCGGGCGTCTCTCGCAGGCAATTTGCGCCGGGGCCAGGGTCTGATAGAAAATCTCTCTGGTGGGTTCGGCCGTTTGATTTGCCTGGAGCATTTAGAATTGGCAGAAGGGCTTGTTGCTTTGCTTTCCAGTGAAGAAATTATGGAATTAGAAAATGGCTGGCAGAGGTCGGCTGACGCTGGTGCCAGTGCTGGGCTGACGAGTGGTATCAATGTGGTGGGAGGAGAGTGATCGAAGGGGGTGAGGGATTGGCGGAATTGGGAGGGCGACCGGTTGGGTTTTGGGCACCACGCAACTCTTTCTGGATGAGCTGCACGAGGGTCCGGGGCGATGGAGACAGATGTCGCCCACAGGCAGAAAGGTCTCTCGTTCGCGAGCTCAGGTTGGTCAGGATAAGTCCAAAAGGAGACACTGATGGGGCGATGCGGTCAGGAATGCAGCTCGATGCAGGCACCGCCAGTCCGAGGAAAGGGCGAGAGAACCGGAGGCTGGAGGAGGGGCTTGGCCTTCTGCTGGAGGTCGAGGTACCTGAGAGGGACAGGGACAGGAACAGGCCGCTGTGACAGGGCGCGCTACTGCTCAGGGAGGCAGGAGGGGGGGGGGCGCGGACGGCGCGAGACGTGTGGAGGAACCCCCTTGGTTGTTTTTTGTGCCAGCACACCCGCGCAGCCCATGTGCAGGCTGTCTCGATGTACAGACGGGCGACAGGCCTCAGGCGAGCCGAACGGACCCAGAGATTTCAGAACCCGTTAAAATGGATCCCCCCCTGAGTGCGATTTGCTGCAGCCTTATTCGAGGATGTGGCGGGATGGACGGATGGGGCTTCAGGCGTCGCTGGGTGGACGAAGCACGCTAGAAGGGCAGCGATTGGTAGGTACACTGCGAGGTAGGCCGGGAGTGCGTGTCTGCGCAATGCGTTGCCCGGAGTCGCCAGTGAGGTACTTCCTGAGTACCTCGAGCTTCGGCCGGGGTGTGTCTTCTTTTGCCTGGCGGGCGAAGCTCGCGAGTAATGCGATGCACGCGTCCTTACAGTCGACGTGGTGATCTGGCGCTGTGAGAGGAGGAACTGAGGAATGAGGGGATAACTAGACTCTCGGTGGGAGACGTTGGTGCATGAATCGAAGAACCAGCGTCCTTATGCCTTTACGTGGTGAGGGGGGAGAGAATCCGGGCCTGTCAGGATCACGGTGTGGTGTTGATTAAGAAGTCATTGCGACAGGGGTGGGTTGAGTGTGATACCTTAGGGAAGGGTAAGTCGGCCAGTGATGGTGGTGACAAACGCGCAGATGGCAACATGAACGGGAGGCCTGGGCGTACTGGCTTGAGGAAGAAGCAAGCACTCTGCTTTGCATCTGGACTCCCTGGAAGCTGTAGACAAGAAAGAGCGCATTTGCCTAACGAGGCTTGCCAGGTCCCAGGGCCATTGCCATCGCGCCTCGCCTTGCCTGACTGACGGACCTGCCTCGAACCGTCACTTGTCATCTCGCGTCCTCCCGTCCTCTGAAGAAGGAACGTCTGACGAGAAGAAAATGGAGGGGGGCTGAACGCTCGAACAAGGCGGCAGAAGGAACAATCTGTCATACCTACCTACCTTTCGCTAGGTCGGCAGGAAGGTAGGCACTACAGGTGGCTACTGCCGCCAGCGCGTTGCTGGACTGGTCGGGACGTGACGTGACGGCAGAAGCATCGTTGGGGGAAGGCGCGGCCTGATGCCTGGCCTGGACTGACGCAGTTGGTAGCAAGTAACAAGAAACGAGAAGGGGACGGAATGGAAGGAAGCAAGGGTCCTAGCCCCAACACCCCGGTGCTGTCTCCTTGCTTATGCATGGAAATGCACAAGTCCAGTGGTGGTGTTTGGAAAGGTGGGACAAGGGTGCAGCATAAACCTTGCATAATCTCGCTCGGTGCCACGTCAAAGCTGGCGCGCTACTGTATGTGGCGTGGCTACCTCTCGAGGCGATCCGTTCTTCTAGCCCGTCGATAGAACTGGGCTTTTCCCAGTACCTGTGAAGTATCCCGGGCTTGAGTTGGCTTTCCACCTTCAATCCAATCCCTGCACCGAATACATCATCGAGTCCCCGAGGAGCTCAAGCAAGGCCGGCCAACGATGGCAATGACGAGCCCTGAGTCCGCTTGGCCCAAGGCAAATGGAGCTGGCCAAGCTATCAGTTGGACAGCAATAAGCAGTTGCCTGGCGTTAGAGGACTTTGTACCGCCTGTTTCGACGTTTTGCTTTTACCCAGCGCCCGGGTCGGTTGCCCATGTTCATTAGGGCCCAGCACTCAGCTCCCATCCCCAGGCACTAACTCAGGAACACGGCAGGATTCGGCGCCATCCCCTTCCGTCCGGTCCCTGCCTGCTGCTCGCTGGGCTTGGCCGCACAGCAACAGGCGGGAGAGGTACCTGATCGGCACAAAAAGGCCATGAGACGGAATCACTGGGCGGGACGATGGCCCAAGAGTCGATCAAGTTCGACAATCGGGGGCGGAGCTGGCGATTTCAATTGGACTTCATCTCTTCTTCCACAAGTGTGCTTCGGCTGATTGCTTCTCGTCTCTCGTAGATGCCTGGGACAGTCCGCACTTTCCCCCGAGGGCCGTGTCTCTTGTCTGTATGGAAGATGTCTTGGCGGTTGACTCGATTGCAATGCACTGTGTGAGCAGAATGCCACCCACGATGGTGCTCAACGGACATGGCTGACGCCGCCCGCCCATGATGAAACGACACCAGAGCCTGCCGCAAAAGAAAGAGGAGGGAAAAGGGGGCGTGCTCAGACGCCAACCGCACGCTTCTAGCTTCAATCTCCATTGAGACCTTTGCCGATTCGACGCCCCCAACTTGTTCACGGCGCGCTCTGAGACTTGGATGAATCCTCCGTCATCACTCGGCCGGTCCGACGTGACTCGTACGTGACCCACGCCACACAAACTGCACTGGAATGTTGCTTCAATTTTTATCGAGCCGTCCGAGGCCACTCTGATGACACTCTGGTCCACGATGAACCCTCTGTCGTGTTGCAGCACTCTCGCAAGAGAAGAGCAAAATCCTGGTGGAGGCGAGCCAGCCGGGGAACCATTGGTACCGACCGAACTGGTGGACGCAACTGCCCGAGATCAGATGGACTGGATCGATCCTGTTGACGGCCCTTGGAGCCCCGTTTGCCGACCGCACACCACGGAAGAAACACTGGGGGGCGCATGCAAGTTCCCGCAGTCAGTAGCATCACTGGGACGAGTCAGCGTGCTGGGAGATGGGAGCCTTGTCCACCTAGGTATCTTACCTTGGGGGCCAGATCCAGGGTGCATCAGGGGGTTTCCTTCGTGCCAGTGTGGCAGCAGCGCAACCATCGCAACCTGTCCCCTTCCTTTCCCTGTGTCTTCCAATGCCAAGCAGCCTCTTTTGCCTCCCGCCTCTACTAGCCGCTACTATTCCTCGTGTTCCGAAGCGATGAGCCCAGTCGGACGCCTCCATCCTACAGCACTCGAGACGAATCTCGACACCATTGCTAATGGACGCGCGATACCCCTAATGTCCATCACGCCCGAGACGGCCCCAGAGGCACCGCGCTATCGCGCACCGGATCGTCCCCGACTTGTCCTGCTGGAATGACAACCATGGGTCTGTGGGACTCACTTGTTCAGACTATGCTGACCAAGGTTGGCGCACAGGGGCAAATGGGCACCGGCTACGGGCTCGAGCCGCCCTCCCGTTCCTCTTCACCCCACCTGGCGCACCGCTGATCTCAAACACGCTCTTGTTGCTCACCCCAGCTCCCCAATGGGAAAGGGAGCTTCCGCAGCTTGCCAGACGTTTCATGGAAACCAGGCTCGATGGTCTCTGCTCCGTAACCCCTCGTTGACACCGTCTACGGCCCCGCCAACAGGGACCCT